CACTTTTTTCGGATGTGATTTTTTTTTTTTTAACCAATTTGCTAACAGAGGATGCTAACTGTGGTATAAAAGCAGCGCTAATGCTCTGAATCATCATTTTTTAAAAGTCTTTTTTTTTCTAATTAATTGGCAACATGTGAAAGGTATGTTTTATATTATAAAGTAAAAAGAATTAAAACTTAATTAATTAATTATAGTTAATTAAGTTAACAGCTACCATTAGCTGAAATGCTAAAGCCAAAGTATTCTTTTGTTTTTTCTTACAAATTCTACTTTTTGGGACTGAATAACATTTTCCACTTTATTACAACGCAAATAAAGCAGCAGTTAATATTTAAATTTAACTTTATTCTATTTTATTGCTAACAGCAGTATAACAACCAGATAATTCAATTGTTTACGTTCTACTGCTAATGTTTTATACTGTAATGATTTACTTTATTATGAAATGCTAACATTTTCAGTTAGTTGTTGTGAATTTTCTGAGTTTCTGAAAACAGTAATTCTCTTTTAGATCAGAATGTCTCCTTTTCAGGAGGATTGAGAGAAGGAAAGCTGGAGCTTTATTCGCCATTTTCCAAACGAGGTAAGATGCGCTTTATGGAAAATATCATGACAGTAAGTGATTCCGTTTCATGCATCATAAAATGACAGAAAGATTTTATCTTGGCTAAAAGCAGAGGAAATGAGATTTAACGTTAACGGTCATAAAGTGGCCGTTAGTCGCTTCAACAACTTTTTGTTGAAGACTTTATGCTGCAGGTTTTAAATGATTCGAGTCAAAAGGAGCGATATTTTATTTTGATTAGTTTGTGAAAGATTCTGGTTTTAAGGGATGGAAACCCCAGAAAGTTCAGCCCTAAACGTTATATGTGTGTCATCTGATGTAAACAGACTGATTTCTTCAGGTGAACTGAGTTTGGTTCCTCCCATCTGGGAGTCTGTTGGCCTTCATTATCCACCAGTTTCCAGCACTTTCCTACTAAATGCTTCCTTTCATTCGAGGTGAACTGATTTGTCACAGAAACAGGAAGCTGACGCCGCAGCAAACTCCAGCCAATCAGGGGACGACATCTCCCCCCCAAACCCAGCAGGATTTTTTTATCTTGTTCAATCTTCCTCATCCTCATTATATCCACTGGATCATCACTGATGAGGTAAGGATCAGAGCCGCTGTCGCTGGACTTTTATACCGTAAACATCAGTCCAGCTCCAGGAGCAGATTCACCTAAAGGGCTGCAGGAGGGTTTAGGTGAAGTATTTTACTCCAGAGATGTTCCAGTTTGTGTTCCTGTTTCGCTCCGCAGCTCCAAGTCCTTCTGCAGACTGAGTTACAGTCACTGCAGTTAGGAGGATTTTTTATTTCTATTATTAAGGAATTCTCAGACATTTTTCAAACTTTCGGCGATTCTGCAATTAGGCAGAAAACCTTTAAATTCAAAGCTTCACTCGTTGACAACAGGGAGCATTTCAGGATATTCAGCGAATCTGAGTGAGATAAAAGATCTCAGTGCTTCTGTTGATCGACTCGCTGTGGGAGGTCTGTACCTGAAAATGAACCCAACAGACACCAGAACAGATCTTATCTCTTGCATTTATCAGTACCTATGAACTTTGACAAGAAATGTAACATTTCCAGCTCTGATGTTTCGTATCTGGTTAAGTTTAGGGTGTGGCCCTCAGCCATGGCCCCTGGGCCCTCGCTGCTTTTCTTTCACTTTAACTGGAAGAACTTACGATTTCCCTGTCTTTTTTTTAATTATTTTTAGGGGGGGGGCGTTAAAAAAAAATTTAACATGTCGGTTTCTAAGCACCTTTTTCCATATCGTAGCCATAATTTTTATATTCTGAGTCCTGTTTTTGAATCTCTTTGGGATTAAATGCAGTAAAAATGTCCGGACCAGGTTAGTGTGTTGAAGAAAGTTAAGAGAAAGTTAAAGGTCAAAACTGAGATTATATCCAAACAGTAAGTTGAAGCATAGAAAACCTGCTTCCTGCTGACAGTCGGTTGCCCAGCAGCTCAAGTTAGAGGTTAACATCTGAGAAAACTGATCTATGATTGTTTGTTTCTTCTCAGAAAGGCAGAGGAAGAGATGGCAGCTAGAGCAGATCAAAAGGTTAGGATGGATGGATGGATGGA